AGTTTGAAGTGGACGCCTATCTTGTTTGGTGCTATATCACTCCAAGCAGTACATTTTCTCTATCAAGTCAGAACTATACACCTCTGCTCAACATTGAAGAAATTGCAGAATAAACCTATAAAATGTTAGTGTACACCCTGAAAGTTACTGTAGGGGAGAAATATTTTGAATATAAAGATCTTTTGTTCCCTTATTAAGAAAAATAAAGTGATCATAAAAAATATGAGCTGAACAGGGGAAGTAGTTGACCTTCATCTACTCGTTCATACCACCTGGGCACCTACTTAACAACAATAAAATCAATTATCAGCTGAGGTCACTATCTGAGAGCATTAGAAAGTACCACTACTGGCTCCCAGTTATTGCCCTGGCTATGCAATAGATATTCTTGGGCTCTTGTGGCATAGTGGTAGTGTCCCTGCCTCTGAGCCAGGAAGCCCAGGATCCACCTGCTCCAGAGGTGTGTAATAATATAATTGAGTAAGTTGATTAGAAAATGTCTACAATAGATATTTTTACGCTCCTGTGGTGCAATGGTAGTGTCCCTACCTCTGGGTTCAAGTCCCAGCTGCTTTCGAGATGCATCATATAATCTCTGAACAGGTTGTAAAGAAAATGCAATAGATCTTCTTACATGATTGTCAGGACTGATGATTATTTGTATGTTTGTGTGCATGTGTTAGCTGAAGGAGCAGCTATGGATTAGTTCCAAAGCTAGTGCTGAATTGGGAAGTGCTTTTTTTAAAAATTTATTTGGTCTACATTGGTTCAAACATGAAATTTGAAGCATATGTAACAGTATATAGCAATGAATGTTTAAGAAAATTAATGGTGTGCAGACAAAGCAAGTACTGATTGACATCCCTCCACCACCTTAAATGTTCACTCCCTCCTGTACAAAGGCTAATATATGTGACATCAACAAGATGCACTGCAGTAAAACATTAAACCTCCTACAATTGCACCTCACAAATCCACGATTCCAGAAAAGAAAGGGCAGCAGATGCTTGAGAGTGGCAACATCTTCAAGCTTCCCTCCAAGTCACACACCATCCTAACTTGGCAATACATTGATGTTCCCTCACTGTCACAGCATCAGAATCTTCCCTAACAGTGCTATAGGTCTAACTTCATTCAAAAAGGCAGCTCACAATGCACCACCCTCTTTAGTTAGGGATGGGCAACAAATGCTGACCTAGAGTATAATGCTCACAACCCATGAGAAAACAAAGAAAAGAAGGGAATTTTGATTTATGGGGAAGGGTTGGGATTTACAGGAACTACAGTCCCTGCTGTCCTGTCTAAAACAGTGGGGAGGTCCATGCCCATCAACCAGATAGTTGTCCCAAGGCAAGTTAACAATGGGAGCAACATTAATTGCTTTAAGACAAGAATTCCAATCCTTTCTTGGACTGAAATCTACCTTTGAAGTTTCTGGATAAGTTGATGCCCTACAGCACTGTAGTCCCAGTAATACCAGTGAGAGTGGTAGTCACTGCTAGCACTGTAGGCCGTCCCATCATAGCAAAGAAGCCAAATATGTCTGGGGTTAGGCTCTTAGGTGCTAGAGGGAAGGCAGGGAAGTGTACTCAAGAGGCTGGGGGTGGGGAGGTGTTGAGGTGGTGAAGGGTAATAATGGAGATGAGTTTGCAGGTATGGAGGGGATGTAACAGTGCACCTCAGATGGGCTCACAAAGGGAGATGCACTCTTCTTGACACAGTTTCATACAGATAACGTCTCCAGGCTTCCTGCATAGCTTTGGTCTCCTTCCTGACTCAGATAGTTAGCCATTTTATATAAAATCTCTCTCAAATGTACTCAAATTACTAGATGTTTACTAGTTTGGCATCCAGGATTTGAACTAGAACCTCAGCTTTTCACTATAGATGATGAATTGGAGAGAACCGTATCTAAATTTGCTCACAACACAAAGTTATGTAGAATTGAAAATAGTAAATAGAAACAGAAAGGGACAAAGGGATGCTGATGAGTGGGCAGAAAACTGGCAGATGAAATTCAATGTGGAAACAGTATGAGGTCATCTACTTTGTATCTAAGAAAGATGGATCACAGCATTTTCTAAATGGTAAAAAGCTAGGACTGTGGCATAAAGTCTTATGGGTCCAAATATAGAAATCATTAAAAGCTAGAGGGCAGTTACAAAAAGTAATATAAAAAAATGTTGGCCTTTATGTCAAGAGGACTGGAATACAAATGAGTGAAAGTGATCTTATAGCTATATAGAGCTCTGGCTAGACTTGTTAGAGTATTGCTTTCAGTTCTGGGCACTGTAATTCAACATTACATTGGCTTTACGGGAGTATAATACAGGTTCACCAGGATGACACTATGGATAAAAGGATGAAGTCATGAGAGGTTGTTTAGAATTGGCTTATTTTCCCTGGAATATAGAAGATTATAAAGTAATTTATATTGAACATTATATTGCAATTTAATTGATATATTTAAGGTGACTAAAGGATTTGATAAGGTGGATAACCCTCTCGTGACAGCATCCACAACAATGGGACATAACCTTAAAATTCGAGTGAGCTATTGAAGGGTGATGTTTAAAAGCATAAATAATGATGTAAATCTAGATTTCTGAACCCCAAAAGCAGTTTGGGCTAGGTCACTTAAAAATTTCCAATCTGAGATTACTAGATTATTGTTTGGACTAGAATAACACAGGCTGCAGAACCAAGGCAGGCAGATGGAGTTCAGGTGCAGAACAATCATAGACTAATGTTGGCAGAACAAAGTCAACAGGCTGAATGTCTGTTCAGATTCCTATGTTCTTGTGTTTCTTTATGCACAATATTCATGTAATCATTCAAACAATAGCTAGTGATAGATAAGAACTTAGCTGAAATAGCAGCAAAGCTGGATTTTCTCAAATGAGTCAAGAAATTTGAAGTTATAAAAGGCACGTGAAAACTCAAGGGGATGTAATGCAAAAGAAAACAACTGAAAAGTGAACATAGTAGGGTGCAAACCTCTGCCAGACTTGGCTAACTGAACATTATTACAATTATGCAACTCATCTTTGAGGATCTGTACCAACAAAGTTGTCGAAGACATTTTCATAAAGTGTGTCTATCCTCGCTGAATAGACTCAAGGCCCCAATCCATATCCAACACCCTGCTCTGAAAGCTCCACTCATGTTGTGACAGCTGTGACAAATCTTGCTAAAGTAGCAGAATCCACAACATTTTAAAGCAAGTTAAAATAGCTATGAACAAAAACAGAAGTTGCTGGAAAAGCTCAGCAGGTCTGGCAGCATCTGTGAAGAAAAAAATCAGAGTTAACGTTTCGGGTCCGGTGACCCTTCAGTTGCCACTTGACTGTTCTCCTGGTATTTAGCATATATAGCAATCCAATTCCCTCTTGAACGCCTCAATTGCACATGCCTACACCTGGCTCTCAGGCAGTTCCATTCCAGATCCTAACCACTTGCTACATGAAAATGTTTTTCTTCATTTCAGGTCAATGATCTTTCATCAGATTTCATGCATAGTCATTGACTTGAAAAATTGCACTTCCTCTGTCCACACATGCCTCCTAACCTGCTGAATATTTCCAGCAGTTCTGGTTTCATTTTGAGTTGTAAAACTCCATGGGGAGCTTTTGACTTTGGCAAAGGTGCTATATCTGCAGTGACAGAGCAGCCACTTATTATGTGTCTGTCCAATTTTCATTTCCATTGATGTCAATGGATATAAATGTCAGGACAAATAGAAGGGATGACTGACCTAACCGCACCCATTATAAATATCTTGCATTATTGCCCAAGGTCAAAATTCCCCCATGGTTCAAATCACGGCATCAATTAAATCAGAGACTGTAGAAATTTAGTTTTAAAAAATGTGGGACAGTAGTGTTTCTGCTCCTCTTTGACCTGCTGGCATCGAATTCAAATTCAGGATTTCAGGCAATAAATCATTCTAATGAATAAGGCGATGTGGGAATCTTGTTGAATATCTATCCATTGTGCTAACATGCTGAGGGAATTCACTTTGTCTTAAATGAGAGTTTAGCCATTCATGTGTTACAACTTCACAGATACATAAGACCCTCACTAAACCCCAGAGAATATAACTGGACAAATGCCGACTCTTGCCCAGATTATTGCTTCTAGTATTGGAAGTGCACCTGTGTTTTTCTGATAAATGCTCAAAAAGTATGCATTTTTAAAAATTAGGATGAAGGTGTCGCTGGCTAGGCAGCATTAATTGCCCAGAGGGCAGTTAGAGTCAAGCACATTGCTATAGGTCTGGAGTCACACGTAGGCCAGACCAGGTAAGGATGGCAGTTTCCTTCCCTAAAAGACATTAGTGAACCAGATGGGTTTTTACAACAATCAGCAATGGATTCACAGTCATCATTAGACTCTTAATTCCAGATATTTATTGGGTTCAAATTCCACCATCTGCTATGGCGGGATTCAAGCCCAAGGTCCCAGAATGTTATCTGAGTTACTGGATTAACAGTCCAGCGATAATACCACTAGGCCATCGCCTCCCAATTTGAAAATTAGCCCGATGTAACAAATGCTAAATTAGAGGATACGTGGTCACAAATTGACCAGTTATTGCGCAGGTGCACCAGTCACAAAACAGCCATTAGGTTAGTTTATTAAAATTCACAATAAAACATTGATCATTTCTATATACTTTATTTAATTGCAACAATCAATAGCAAATGCATTTAATTTTATGCAAAGGTTTTTTTTATCACAGAACTATATTTTGACAAATTGTCTCCATCTTCTTGCTATTTTTCTCACAAAAAAGCTACAGCCATGCCCAAATGGCTGTGTGTTGGTATTAACTTTCAATTGAATTTAATCATGATAGTAATCCAAGAAATGTAACAAACCATTAAAGGTACCAAGTTACCTTTTCCTGCCCAAAATATATTGCCATGTTACTGTGCAATGCTTAGACTTACTTCCTATAGCCAATGGCTCTCTAAAGTGAAAATTGTATTATTTTACAGATTATTCACCAGATAGGTCTGTCTGCCAATGTGAATGGAGTACCTCAGCAAGCCAATGGCACCAGTTCAGAAGGTAAGTGGTCATGCTTTGGAACATTCTGAATGTTACTTGTTTCTAAAGGTACAGTGGAGATTTAGGGCTTTAGAAAGAGGAGCCTTAGAGTTTTAAACCTTAGTCCCTGACCAAATTCTGTGTGGCTGCCTTTGTCCTATATGTCTTAATCCAATTGGTTAACATAGTTTCATCAATCACAGACCTAGTATCAATTGCCATTTGTGGAACATTGTTCCAATTACAGATCCAATGTCCAAAATCTACAGAAGCAACGGTTTTGAATGAGCATTTTTCTAGGCCTATGATTGTGCCAGATCTCAGAGTTTCCCAGATTTTGGACTACCCTCCAGATCAGAAGAGACAGAAAGTACTGCAGAAAGCCAGCAGGTCCGGTAGCATCTCTGGAGAGAGAAACAAAGTTAAACAATTTCTAGTCTGATACGACTGTTCTTCAGAACACCTGGTGAAGATTTACTGTTATTGTGTTAGTACAAAAAACGCTATTCCATGACGATGCAGGATTTGGTAACACATGCAGTTTGTAATAAGATTATGTAATGTTTGTCCCACTGAATAATCCAAAACACACAAACAAACATCGATACACACACACTGAATAAAGGAAAAATATGGATTTCTCCAGGCAGAATCTCACTTCGGTAGGGATGAAACATTTTTGGCCAAGAAATCATCATTCTTGAAAGGAAAAAAGGATAAGATCTGGCATGTTTTTTGGTTGTTTGTTGATATTCTGGCATGTGTAGATATTTGTCACCTGTTACAACACAGAGACAGACAACCAAACCAAATCAGCCTTTCTACCTCTATATTCATAGCACAGTAAAATTAAAACTTATAAAGACTGTCAAAATTGACCCCAATAGTTCCAAACTAGGCTTTTGAATAACCAGAGATAGTAGGAACTGCAGATGCTGGAGAATCTGAGATAACAAGGTATAGAGCTGGATGAACACAGCAGGCCAAGCAGCATCAGAGGAGCAGGAAGGCTGACGTTTCGGGCCTAGACCTTTCTTCAGAAATGGGGGAGGGGAAGGGGGTTCTGAAATAAATAGGGAGAGAGGGGGAGGCGGATAGAAGATGGATAGAGGAGAGGATAGGTGGAGAGGTGACAGACAGGTCAAAGAGGCGGGGATGGAGCCAGTAAAGGTGAGTGTAGGTGGGGAGTTAGGGAGGAGATAGGTCAGTCCAGGGAGGACGGACCGGTCAAGAGGGCCGGATGAGGTTAGTAGGTAGGAGATGGGGCTGGGGCTTGAGGTGGGAAGAGGGGATAGGTGGGAGGAAGGTCAGGTTAGGGAGGCGGGTCAAGCTGGGCTGGTTTTGGGATGCGGTAGAGGGAGGGGAGATTTTGAAGCTTGTGAAGTCCACATTGATACCATTGGGCTGCAGGGTTCCCAAGCGGAATATGAGTTGCTGTTCCTGCAACCTTCGGGTGGCATCGTTGTGGCACTGCAGGAGGCCCAGGATGGACATGTCGTCTGAGGAATGGGAGGGGGAGTTGAAATGGTTCGTGACTGGGAGGTGCAGTAGTTTATTGCGAACCGAGCGTAGGTGTTCTGCAAAGCAGTCCCCAAGCCTCCGCTTGGTTTCCCCGATGTAGAGGAGGCCACAACGGGAACAGTGGATGCAGTATACCACATTAGCAGATGTGCAGGTGAACGTCTGCTTGATGTGGAAAGTCTTCCTGGGGCCTGGGATGGGGGTGAGGGGGGAGGTGTGGGGGCAGGTGTAGCACTTCCTGCGGTTGCAGGGAAAAGTGCCGGGTGTGGTGGGTCTGGAGGGGAGTGTGGAGCTGACAAGGGAGTCCCGGAGAGAGTGGTCCCTCCAGACAGCAGATAAGGGTGGGGAGGGAAAAATGTCTTTGGTGGTGGGGTCGGATTGCAGATGGCGGAAGTGTCGGAGGATGATGCATTGGATCCGGAGGTTGGTAGGGTGGTAAGTGAGGACGAGGGGGATTCTGTTTTGGTTGTTATTGCGGGGACGGGGTGTGAGGGATGAGTTGCGGGAAATGCGAGAGACACAGTCGAGGGCGTTCTCGACCACTAAGTGGGGGAAGTTGCGGTCCTTGAAAAACGAGGACATCTGAGATGTTTGGGAGTGGAATGCCTCATCCTGGGAGCAGATGCAGCGGATGCGAAGGAATTGGGAATAGGGATGGCATTTTTGCAGGAAGGTGGGTGGGAGGAGGTGTATTCTAGTAGCTGTGGGAGTCGGTGGGCTTGAAATGGATATCAGTTTCCAGGTGTTTGCCAGAGATGGAAGTAGGGAGGTCCAGGAAGGAGAGAGAGGTATCAGAGATGGTCCAGGGTGAACCTAAGGTTGGGGTGGAAGGTGTTGGTGAAGTGGATGAACTGTTCGAGCTCCTCGTGGGAGCACGAGTCAGCACCGATACAGTCGTCAATATAACGGAGGAAGAGGTGGGATTTAGGGCCAGTGTAGCTACGGAAGAGGGATTGTTCCATGTAACCTACAAAGAGGCAGGCATAGCTTGGGCCCATGCGGGTACCCATGGCCACCCCCTTTGTAGTAAGTGGGTGGAATTGAAAGAGAAGTTGTTGAGGGTGACGACGAGTTCGGCTAAGCGGATGAGGGTGTCAAATGAGGGTCTCGACTCCATTTTCTCCCCCTTGGTCCAGGAACTCCCTAACTACGTCCGTGACAGCACCCACGCCCTCCACTTCCTCCAAAACTTACAATTCCCCGGTCCCCAACACCTCATCTTTACCATGGACATCCACTCCCTATACACCTGCATTCCCCAGGCAGATGGCCTAAAGGTCCTCCTTTTCTTCCTGTCCCGCAGGCCTGACCAGTCCTCCTCCACTAACACCCTCATCCGCTTAGCCGAACTCGTCCATTAATAATGTAGTTACCTTAGCAGAGTAAAATTAACCAACAAATTCTAATTATCTAATTGGTCTATGTTTTAAACCCAACCGCTCTCGTTTTCGGTTCCAGTCACACAAAACACCGACAAACACAGTTAAGGGATAAGTTTAAAAAAAACTAACCAGATTACTTAAGTGGTTTTCATGGCTTGTTATTCCACAGGCATAGATGATGGTTTCTTTGTTGATTTTCTGAAGGTATCAATCAGGGTGGATAATACTTAAAACTTTGTTCTCTATTCACTGAACTGCCAAGAGCTGATAAAGGAGTTTAGGCAGGGAGCTTTTGAAACTCCATGCTGTAACATCAACAGCCAGATTCCTATTTCTTCACAGAAAACGCAAACCAAAATTGAGTTCAAGCTCTGACCACTCCCTGACAGACTGACCATCTCCCCCATGAGGTCTCATCAACCATTCAAGATCTGCTTGAGAGTAAAGTCTTTCCAGACTTGATAGAAAAATGTCTAAGTACTGACCTCATCAATAGCCAACTTCTGCTATTTGTTTAAACACAATGCTCTTCCCCAGTGACAAAGTGTCTGCAGAACGTTTTGATCGAGAATCAACCTGCAATTAATTTGAGGACCGGCCTGCTGAATAAACAAAAGTTTGTTTAGTCTGTTTTCCTATCAACACAAGCTGTTGACCACAGTCCAAACATCAATCTTAGCTCCCCCTTCACTGCCCCAATCCAAAATTGATTAAAAAAAGTAAAAATAATGAAAAATCAGTGAAGGTTCTAACATACAAAACATAGACAGATGTTTCTAGGATGAAGCCAATGCAACTTTCTCAGGAAATGCAACATTGAGGATTTTTCCAGACTCTCTTTTGGAAACACAATCAGTGTTCAAACTGGACCTGTGCTCCAGATACCATACTGGATTCACAACAGGAGGGTTTTCAGGAACAAGAGAGCTGAGCTGCGAGGTTCTTCTCCTTCGCCAGGTTGGTCACCAACTTCAGAAATGAAACAATCTCTAAAGTAGAAGCTGCAACCAGACAATGGTAAACCCAGGCAGGAGTCTGCAATAAACAAGCAGTTACCAAAAGACATGAGATTTTCAAGAAATGCATTATTTAAAACATGTTCTATTGTCCTTCATTGACCTTTTTGAAATAAAAAAAAATCAAACCAAGTATCTCCACAATCCTGTAACCTCCATTTGATTAACGTGTTAATATCTCTTTTTATAATTTTATGCTCCTGTCCATATAGCTTATAATGCAGCCTATTGTTGTTTCATTGGCAAACTTGGATGCATGGCTTTGTACCTCATTACTAAGTTATTATTAATTACCATAAGTAGCTGATGCCCCACCATAGTCATGCAGACCACCACTGGACACATTCTATGTATCAGAGTACCTGTCCATTATCTCTACTCATTGTCTCCTGTCATCAGCATATCTGCTAACTTGTTCAATAATTTATTTTCAATTTCATACACTTCAAACTTAATAAGCAACCTCTTATAGAGGACTTTATCAAATACATTTTGGAATTTCATATAACCATATCCATTGACATTCCTCTGTCCACTATATAGTTACCTCTCAGAAAAATTCATGCAATTTGTCAGGCATGATCTATTCTTTATAAATTCATACACTGGCTCTCGCAATCAGCTTAAAATTTCCAGAGTGTTCAATTATTCTGTATTTAGTAGATTATAATTCCTGACAGCTCATGCTAGACCAACTGGTCTATACTGCCCTGACTTCCCGCCTTCCTTTATTTAAATAGTGGAGTGATATATATCATTTTTCAGTCTATTGAATAGCCCCCAAATCAAAAGAACTTTGGAAGGTTATAGTTAGGATATTAGCAATGTTCACACCTACTTCTTTTAAAACTGTAGCCTGGAAACTGTCTGGTCCTGTTAACTTCTTTAGTGCCATTATTTTATACATTCTATTTTTACAGTGATTTGGCAATTTCCCATCACCGATTGAAAAATTGTTTCATTAGGATGTCTAACATTATCATTGATGTAAACAAAGTAATTGTTCAACACGCACATTATTTCCTTAATTTCAATGATGTTACTTGTAAGGGGTACACATTGCACTTGATCTCCCCCTCTTTCTCGGTAGAATTCTAGAAAT